TATTCTCATGCCTTTTGGTGAGTAGGAGTTTTTAATTTTGGTGAGGTCTGATTTATTCTTTTTTTTTTTTTTTCATTTCTGGAGTTTATTCACTATGTTCTGAAGAGCCTTGTCTACCCTCTTGCTGTGAAGGTACTCTTAGGCTTGGTTCTCAAGCCAGTTTGGTTTTATGTAGGACTATGCTCCATCCTGAATTAATTTTGTTTACGAGAATGTTATAAGATTAAAAAAAAAAAAAAAAAAGCTCTCTCATAGCAATTCCTGTTTCCATTTGGTTATTTTAAAATATAACTTGGCATTCAGAGTTTGGTTTAAAATAAACCGATGTGGGTAAATGACTCATTGGACAAAGATTGATTGTAACGGGTCTGCCTGGGGTGAGGACCCGTCCAGACAACTCTTCCCATGCTTGTGCCTCTGGGGAAATTAGGATTCAGTTATTGGCAACTGTTTTTTTGAAAATAACTACTTAGCCATTCTAAAGACATGCTAGGATTCATTACTTACATTTTGAACATGAGGCTGAATCTAGTTATTTTGCATATGTTGTCAAAAGCTCTCCAAAATGGCATATCTGGCAAGATTACTGGGAGAGCATGCCCAACAGTAACCATTTTAAGTGACTTTTCTGTTGTGACAAGACACCATGACCAAGGCAGCTTAGCAAGGAAGGCATTTAGTTTGGGAAATCACAGTTCCACAGTCCTTTGCCCTCATGGCAGGGAGCATGGCGGTAGGCAGGCAGGCATGGCTGGAACTGGAGCTAAAGTGTATACCCTGAGCCACAAGTAGGAGCAAAGAGAGGGGGACAGAGAGGGGGACAGAGAGAGAACTGGGGATGGCATAGGATTCTGAAACCTCAAAGCCCACCCTCAAAGACACACCTTCTCCAACAAGGCCACGCCTCCTAATCCTTCTCAAACTGCTCTCCCAGCAGGGGGACCAGCTTTCAAATAGAGGTGCCTATGGGGGCTGTTCTAATTCAGATCAGTATAGTAACCCATACAGTGAGCTTCCAATTGGCTTCTGGAAAGTTCTGTTACGAGTTCTATAAGATTTTTTCTGTGAGGTGGTCAGTGTTCAGACAAGAGTCCTCTGATCACAAGATAAATGGTTCTTGTTATTTCTTAACACCATGAAAAAAAAAGCATGGATTTTGTTTTTTATATTTTTAAAATGTTTAGTGGAGGAGTATTTGCCTGTGTGTATGTATAAAAATTATGTATGTATGTGCATCACATGCATGCTTAGTGCCCACAGATCTAAATCCTGGTTCTCTGAAAGAGCAACAAGAGCTCTTAACTGCTGAGCTATCTCTCCAGCCTCTGAAAAGGCATGGATTTTAAAAGAGAAATTGCTGGAGAATTTTGAAAAAAAAAAAAAATTAAGAGTATGTGCTTCGTGGCCATCAAGATGGCTCAGTAGGTAAAGGTGTTTACCACCTGGTATGAGTTCAGTCCCAGAGACCTGCATGGTGGAAAGAGAAAATTGACTCCTACAGGTTGCCCTTTGACCTCCATTCTGGATCTGGGGTCATAGATGGTTGTTAGCTACGATGTGGGTGCTGGGAATTGAACCCGGGTCCTCTGAGAGAGCTGCCAGTGCTCTTAAGCACTGAGACATGTATCCAGCCCCTCCACCCAGTTTTTATAGTGTGTGAATCCTTAGTACCTATGATGCCAACGGTTGACTTAGCTACAATGGTACGCTCTGGGCTCATATATTGGAGATATTCGTTTTCTTAGTAACCGAGTAGAACTTCAAACATTAATTTCCAAGTGTAACCCTAGGAATGTGTAGAAAATGCAGTATAAGCTTGTGTCCATAAGTAAACATTCACTTAAGACAAAGTAGGTATTTTTCAAAGCCTTTGTTTTGTAACTGATAAAGCTTTTGATAGCTCATCAGACCTGGTAATGGTGGCCACCCTGCTCCGTCACATTGGTGCTTGGACCCTTGTCACCCAGAAGCCCATCTGTGGCTGGAGTTATTTTGATGAGATATCTCCCTTTCCTCCAAAGGCTTTAGGCTCCAAAGACTGGGTTCCATCTAAAAAGCAACTACTAGAAATGTCCATCTCTGTAATCCCAGGGTGGGCAGGGCACAGAGCAGTGTGGGACCACTTTTTATTGACTTGAAAGGTGGCCAAAAAGCCACAGAAACTGCTCTGCATGGTCTGTGTAAGCCGCCGGAGAAGGAGCGCCTGCGCCTGCTGCTGGTGGTAAGTGAGCCCAGGTGTGCCCTCCCTCACAGCTCTCATCCACTCATGGGGAAAGATGGGCAGCGCTCTAGGCTCCTAGCCACCTGTTTACGTTGGGTTACCATTTCTTTCCTTTGCTTTTGGCAGCTGTCCCTCCAGAAGTAGGCGTAGAGAATTTGGAAAAAGAAATTGAATAAATTTGAAAAGTCGTCTTTGGCAGCTTTCCGTACTGTTTAATAAAGCAGGAAGCAGTTTCAAACTTTATGCTAGGAAAATAAGTCAAAAAAGACCTTTACATTCACAGTAATTAAATTGAGAAGGCTCAGTTTGTGGCGCTAATCTTAAAATCTTTTGGCACACAGTTTCTTCTTGAGTGTAAGCATAGATTCAGGCTTTAGGCTCCTGAAAACATAGCCCCTGGCTGAATAGGCAAAGGTCCATTAAGATTCCATTTTCCATGAGCAACACCAGGATTCTGTGAGAATGTTAGACCTGCATCCTCTGATAGATCACCCTTCACTACACCCCACCTTTTAAGACAGAGTCTCACTATGTAGACCAGGCTGGCCTGGAACGCACAGAAAGCTGCCTGCTTCTGTTTCCAGAGTACTCAGATTAAAGGGATGAGCGACCACATTGGCTATCTGTATAGCTATTTTAAAAGCATTTTTCCCCCTGTAGCAATTTATTTGCCCCAGCAGGGCCTCTTTCTCGGTTTAGCAGTATGAAAGAAATACTTTAAGGACTACCAGATGTCTGGGTTAATAAAAACTGTGTTTGTTCTCTTTGAATGCTCCTTTGCATTTTATGATGATTTCTTCTTGGGGCTTTGAGTATGGAAAAAAACTGAAACATTTAAGAATGTTTCATCATTTTAAATATTTATGATTACTGAATATGCAAAAAATTGATTTATCTTCTTTCTTAGTTAAGGAAGATAAATGGCTCTTGTCAGCCTGATAGTTTGAAGTTCTCAACACAGCCCCTTGCATTGGTCACCTCTCTTGTCCTAAGTCCTTTTCTTACATTTCTTATGCTAGTCACTTGAGTGGCAAACTTGGGTGTGGTACAAAAGTGGAAGCTGTGTTGAGGCCTGGGAAAGTGAGGAGCTGGGCTTATATGGGGTTCAAAGTCTCACGAATGCCTGGGTTTTATTATGGTACCCTTAAGCACATATGAGAGACTACCACAAGTCATCAAAGAGGCAGATTTTATAGCCTGGCTTCTATGGTGACTCAGATAACCTTGTCAGGATTTTGGATAATAAAAACAGAATCTGTATTTTCCCAGGAATTTCTGTGGCATGCATGCCTTGCAGTGACTGTAGAATTTAATGTTGCATGTACTAAGGGTCTGCTCAAACAGAGCAAAGCTGAAGATGGAATATAAGATCAACACAGATGCACGGCACTTTACACGATTTTATGGAGCTCTTTGGTGTTAGAGGCAATTAAGCCAGCCCAGGTGCAGCTAGCTAAGGAAAGAAGTTGTAACTTGTTACATAAAGTAATTGGGAAATAGATAAGCAGTATGCAAGGTAGATCAAAAGGTGACCAAGTGAGAGGGCAGGAGAGAAAGTCATCGGGGCAGGTTGCTGCAGGGCTGTGTCTTCCACATAGAGGGATGGTCCCTCTCCAAAGCACAGCGGCAGGAGGTGTGGCTGGAGCCAGCCAGAGGAGCAGCCTGGGCTTCAACCACCATCAGGCATCCCTACAAAGGACTTGGAGCAGAAAGATGGAGCCTTTTCATTGGAAGCAATAACCGCAAGCCGTTTGCATGGCAGCCTGGCAGAGTGTGGAGGGGAGAGGGGCCCTGGGGTCACAAAAACTCATGCCTCTATGCTGTGAGCAGTAACAAGGACGCCCAGATGAGAAGACTAGAACTCATCTGGAGAGCTCTGAGAGGAGGTGCTGGAGAGAGGGCTCAGCGAGAATGGCTTGTTTGGCAAGCATATGGGGACCTCAGTTCTGTCCCTACAACCCAGTAAGAAAGGCCAAGCATACACCCGCCTACCAGGCTAGCCTACTAGGTTATCTCTAAGCCAGTGAGATGCCTGTCAAAGGAGCTGCGTGGTGTTTCTGAGGATGATACTGGGGTTGGGCTCTGCCAAACTCTTCAACATGCTAAAGAACATCTGTCTGGTGAAGTCTGGTGAGCATTCTTTTCTCCTGTCCCTGAAGATCAGGATCTACTACAAGATAGGTGTTCCAGCTGAGAATAGTAGTTGTGCATGACTGTAATCTTCAGAGGCAACAGGATCCAGCACTGAATGCCAGCCTCAGCTGCATAGGAAGTTTGAGGGCAGCCTGAGCTACATAAGTCCCTGTCTCAAAAAACAAAACCAAACAAGCAAGAAAATTGGTTTTTAAATTTCCTTTAAAACATTGTGATGCTAAACTTGCTCTGTTTCTAGTACTACATTTTTCTGACACTTCATTTACTGACTTGAAGAGGGAGTATGCCCTGCTGCACATGTAGAAGTCAGAAGACCAACTGTGTGGAGCCTCCTTCCACTAACTGCATGGGTCCAGGGCATAGAACCCAGGTCCTCAGGCTGGCCGCAAGCTCCCTCGCCTGCTGCGCCTTTGCTCTCTACCTGTCCACTTTGCTTAAGAAGGAAAGTACTTGGTTATGGAATTGCAGAGCTACTTGAGCTTGTTTGGTTGTTTTCTGCAGCACTGGGGATAAAACCTGGGGCCTTAAACATACTAGGCAATCGCCCCATGCCTGAACCACACCCGAGTAGGCTGGCCCAGATACTGTTATCCCAGGTCTCAGTCACTCTCTCTTTCTTTTGCAGGCATATCTTTTTCTTGCACATTAAAGAATCCCTCTTGGCAGGCCACCTCCAGTGTTCCCCCGAGCAGGCAGTGGAGCTTAGCGCCCTCCTGGCCCAGACCAAATTTGGAGACTACAACCAGAACACTGCCAAGTACAGCTATGAGGATCTGTGTGAGAAAGAGCTCTCCAGCTCCACCCTGAACAGGTGAGGCCACCGGAGGCTGGCGTGCCTGCTCACAGCCACCGACTTGATAAGGATCAGGAAACTGGCCTCATGGTGTAGTTGTGGAGTTTGTGAGGCGAAGTCCAGGTCATTGCCAGGTTTAACCCGTCATTTTTAGAAAATTCATGTGCCTTTTCCTTAAGAAACCTACCAACACAAAACAGCCCACACAGATAAATGCCCTTCTATGAAATGCCATAAATAACAAGGATCTCGAAAGTGCCTGACCTTTTAAATATGCAAATCTCCTACAGTAAAAAGCCTAGCATGTTTATTGGTATTTGCTTCATCCCAGAAAGAACGACAGCAAGATGGCTAACATAGGCAGCTCAGTTACCTATTCCTGTGTAACAAGCTTACCCCAAACTCAGCACTTAAACCAACAGACATTATCTGTGGGTATATAGGCAGGGAACAGCTGTGGCTTGGGCCACACCGAGCCCCCGAGGTCAGTCTCATCGAAAAGCCCGGCTGGGGGAGGCCTCCAGGCCCAGATGGCTCTTGTGGCTTCTTGGCCAGCCTTCTCCTGCCACCTGACCCCAGGGCTCCTTCTTGGTGTGGGAGCTGGCTCACCCAGCATGAATGACCAACAGAGGAGAGACAAGCCAGGGAAGAAATGAGACCTGCAATCTCAGAAGTGAGTTTCATGCCAGGTCTTCCACCGTTTTCTGTTCATTAGAAGCCAATGATTAATCCAGATCATACTCAAGGGAAGGGTACACTGGGAGGCCAGATCACCAAGGACCACAGGAGAGACAGCCTTGCCACAGCAGAGAACATAGACTCTGTTTCTTCAGTTGCAAATAACCTAATCAGTCCCCTGTGGTGCCACCTGGCAGGGAGCTTGTAAAGTGGAAGTAGGTAAATGTGTGAGGGGTCTAGCCTACACTTTTGTCTGTGTGTGTGTGTAGAGATTTTTCCATCTTTCAGCTTACAGTATTCCCAAATGATGGGTTCTCAATATTTGTTGAAATCTTTAAAAATGTGTGTGTGTGTGTGTGTGTGTGTGTGTGTGTGTGTGTGTGTGTGTATGTGTAAGACAGCTGAGAGTGAGTTCTTTTCTTCTACCTTATGCATCCCAGAGATCACACTCAAGCTTGGAGCAAGCACCTTCACCCATTGATCAGTCTCACTGGCCCCATAGTTATCATCTCCAACTGTGTCTTAGAATTATTTTACAGTTAATTTGACTAGTAAATGAAATAGTAATATGCCATTTGGTGCTTTTGTGTTCATTAATGACCATATCATTAATGACTATTCATTAATGCCTATAATTCACTGGTGAAAATTAAAAGCTTTATAGAATGCATTGATCTGTCTAATTTTGCCCCTTTGGGTGTCCCACAGTATTGTTGCAAAGCATAAGGAGCTGGAGGGCATCAGCCAGGCCTCTGCAGAATACCAGGTTCTGCAGATTGTGTCAGCAATGGAGAATTACGGCATAGAGTGGCATGCTGTGAGGGACAGCGAAGGACAGAAACTCCTCATTGGGGTTGGACCGGAAGGCATCTCAATCTGTAAAGATGACTTTAGCCCTATTAACAGGTAACCCAAATCTTCGGTATACATGCCTATGTACATACATACATTCCTACAATCCCCAGTATGTGTATCCACCTGTTGCTTTTTTCTGAATGTAGAGAATGGGCAGAAATTCACCAGATACCTCTAACAATAAAGTGATTCCTTTTTGAAAGTATTAATTGCATTCAGTCCTTAACTATTTGATTATTTCTTCAATGCAAAAATACACTATGGTGGCAGAATTATTTTTCTTAAGTGGCTCGGACCATTGAATACCGGTGTCTGCTTCTGTATGCACTCAACATGTTGAGGTTACTCCAGCCCGTATCTCCACACCACAACTGCTTGTCCTGCATCAGCACAGCTAGCTAGAGTCATCAAAGAACTCCCCAGACAAAGTGTTCACTGCTGGGTCATGGGCTGCCTATTAAGGCTTGTCAACACTCTGCTGAGCTGCCCCTTCTGAGCTCTCTCACTTTTCTCCTCCTGCCTTCCAGGATAGCTTATCCTGTGGTGCAGATGGCCACCCAGTCAGGAAAGAATGTCTACCTGACCGTCACCAAGGAGTCTGGCAACAGCATCGTGCTCCTGTTTAAAATGATCAGCACCAGGGCAGCCAGTGGGCTCTACCGAGCCATCACCGAAACGCATGCATTCTACAGGCACGTACCATCAATGTGTCTCCTACGCTTCGGGCATAGCTTAATGTGTTTAGGTGACTGGCAGGTTTCTGGGATTCCTCCTAGCCCCGAGTCCATGAGTGTTGTACAGAATGTGAGAGAATAGCTAGCTACTCTGAACACTTCCTTTTGCAGAGCCTTTGCAGAGCCCTTATCAGCACAGAATTGGGTGGTCCTGTGCTTCATAACAGTCTCCTGCTTATCTCTCACCTTCCTACCACAACCACCTCCCAGCATGACCCCACTGGTTCGGCCTGTTCACCCTCGGCTGGGTTCCTTTCCTGAACAGTGATCCAGGTTTTTCCTTGCTGAGAAAGACCCTGTCCTGAGCCCTCCCACCTTACACACTCTGGATAATTTTTAAATTGAGTTGAATTTTCCTTGGTGTGTTTTGAGACAAAATCTCACTGTGTGTTCAAAGGTGACCTGGAATTCACTATATACCTCAGGCTGGCCCCAAACACCACTGCAGTCTTCCAGCCTTGGCTTCCTGACTGCTGGGATCGCCTGCATGCACCACCACACCTGGCCATTCTAGACTCTAGAGGGCCTGAGTTGTGATTAGCCTCATTCTTAGAAATAATAATAATAAATAAAGCCCAAAATGGGGTTGGTAGGAAGCCTTCCAATGTTTTATGTTGAAATAGACTGCAGAGCAGAACAGAAAACTTGTAGACATGTTTAACATAAAAGCCATGACTTCAAAGAACAAATGTCTCTTTGCTTCCACAAGCTGCTGGATGGCCCCTCCCAGCCAAGGGGGCTGGGAAGTCTCATCTCCGTATTTACAACTGCTTCCATGCAAGTATTTGGAGGCCCCTGAGAAGCACAGAGGTGGAGTCACTGAGCTACTAAGCATTTAAGTGAGAAGAACTCAGTCAGACATGCACACAAGAATATTTATTATTTTGGTAACGAATGTAGCTCAGTCCATAGAGTACTTGAGTACTAACATTCATGAGGCTTTCCATGAATTGAGCATGGTATGCATGTATGTAATCCCAGCACCACTCAAGAGGTGGGGGCGGGGTTATGAAGTTCCAAGTCATCCTTGGCAGCATAGTTCAAGACCAGCCTAGGTCATATGAAACCTTGTCTCAAGGAAAAAAAAAAACAAAAAAAAAACACAACACAACAAGTTGGGTATGGGACATATAGAATGACAACAGTCGAGAGACAAAGGCAAGTGGACCACTATGAGTTAAAGGCCATCTTGGCCTATATGGTAAGTTCCAGGACCTACATAGTGAAATCTTGTCTCAACAAAGCAACAACAACAATAATAATTGAGCGTAAGCACTAATAATATTAAATGTAAGACAGGCATGGTGGCACACAACTGTAATCCCAGCAAGCAGAAGGACAAGAAGTTTCAGGCCAGCCTGGGCTTCATTATCTCAAAAAGCAAATAAGTAGAGAAACAGATGGATGATAGTAGATAATTAATAGATGATTAATAGATAGACAATAGATCGGTAGATGGATGGTATAGACAATCAACATTATAGAGAGGAGATAGATGATGAGTACTAAATGTTTATTGCTATACTGTTTTATTGGTCGCAGTAGTGTGATAGTCTGAACTGTGAAATTCCTAGGTGGTTCAGTATTAAACAAGATGTTCACTTCTTCCCTTCAGGTGTGACACAGTCACCAGTGCCGTCATGATGCAGTACAGCCGTGACTTGAAGGGCCACTTGGCGTCTCTGTTTCTGAATGAAAACATTAATCTTGGTAAGAAATATGTCTTTGACATCAAAAGAACATCCAAGGAGGTATATGACCACGCCAGGAGGGCTCTGTACAATGCTGGCGTTGTGGACCTCGTCTCCCGGAACGGCCAGAGCCCCCCCAGCTCGCCCCTGAGGTCTCCTGACAGCAGCGTGAGCTGCAGCAGCTGCGAAGGCCTCAGCTGCCAGCAGACCAGGGCGCTCCAGGAGAAGCTGCGCAAGCTGAAGGAAGCCATGCTGTGCATGGTGTGCTGCGAGGAAGAGATCAACTCCACCTTCTGCCCCTGCGGCCACACTGTGTGCTGTGAGAGCTGTGCAGCCCAGCTGCAGGTAAGGGCTCACTTAGTGCTCCTCTCCATTAAGAAGCATCCAATAGGAGCATTATAGGTGGAGTGAAAGTCCCCGTCTTCGCTCAGAGAGGACTTGGCGTGCAGGGACTTCCAGCATTGTGCCTGTAGAAATGTGTGGATCAGCACACTCTTGTCACCATTTGCTTTTGGAAACGAGGTCCAGATTGACAAATCAGTGTATCTCGGAGCTAAACCAAGAGGGTGCAGGCCTGCCTCTTCCATTTTATGTTGCCTCTTGCTCTTTGATACTACTTAGTAGGAATGTCTGTATTAGCTAACTAAAATTCTAGTTAAAGAATACGTAAATTAGCCAGGCGCTGTGGCACACACCTTTAATCTCAGCACTCAGAGAGGCAGAGGCAGGCAGATCTCTGTGAGTTTGAGGCCAGCCAGGACTACACAGAGAAACCCTGTATTGAAAACCAAAAAAACAAAACAAAAACAAAAACAATTTTTTGGATTATTATTATAAGTGACATTTACTATATTTGTGATTAGTTTATCTCTATCTTTGCATATACCTGTGTGTGTGTGTGTGTGTGTGTGTGTGTGTGTGTTACGCACACACCACAGTGTACACGTGGAGGGCAGAGGACTATTTGCAGAAGTCAATTTTTCCCTTCCGCCATGTGGTGCTGGGCATCACACCTGGGTTTCAGGCTTGGTGCAAGCATCCATACCCACTGAGCGATCTCACCAGCCCCTTCATTTCCTTTTGTTACTGTTCAGACCTTTAGGGGTGTCTTCTATTAGCTGTTCTTTGCTAGCAAGTCGAACTAACTTTCACACAAAAAAAGAAAAGCAACTCATATATCACATTTCTCCTTTCTTGTACCTTACATTTCCTCTCAAAGTAACTTTTCACTTGGTTTCTTCTCAAAAGGTTCTGCTAAATGTCACTGTGGGTGTATGTAAGCCTAGCCATGCATGTCAGCTAGTCCTCACAAGCTACGACACTACAATACAGAGTTCATGTGAGGATGGAGCAGCGAGCTCAGGACACCCGTGCCTTCTCTGGGAACAGCCTGTGCTGATGCAATGAGGGGTTTCCCCTTTAGAATCCTGGCTTTATCTTTTCCTGCCCTATGCCTATATTTCCTAATGACCAATGAAGGATGTGTGTTAACCAAGAAGCCACCAGAGACCTGTTGCCCCTGGCCACAAGGACATCTGCCCACTGACGTGGTCACCAAGATAGCTGAGCCAGGGCCTGTCTATGGACATATGTCCAGCATGGTGGCCAGAGGTGCAGTGACTTCCTCCTATATGTGTGCCCACAGCCCTTGTAGAAGGAAGGCTCAAGCTAACAGAAGGCTTGGGAAGATGGCTGAGCCAATAAAGTGTCTGCTCTGCGTTGCAGGGCACAGGGACCTGAATTCAGTTCCTAGAACCTGTGTAATTAAAAAGCTGTGTGGGAGGAGTGGGTCAGAGGTCGGAACAATTGTAGGAATTCTTAATCCTGTTGCTGGGGAGGGAGAGACTGGAGAACCCCAGGGGCTCACCTGCCAGCCAGAAGCTTAACCAGTGTCAGTATCCAAGCCTGTCACCCCAGTGTCAGTCTCCAAGCCTGTTACCGAGAAACTGAAAGCCTAGAAATTGCAATGGCAGCTTATCTAGAAAGGTGAGTGTGGGTGCACCAAGGCCCAGGTTCTGCAAACATTCTAACTGGTGCTGGCTTCTTTTCCAGTCGTGTCCAGTCTGCAGGTCACGGGTGGAGCATGTCCAGCACGTTTACCTGCCAACCCACACCAGTCTCCTCAATCTGACTGTCATCTAACTCGTCCTGCGCTGACTGGACACACCGTGTCCCCACAAGCCGCAGTATTGTAAACTACAAGAATAATAACTTTGTGAAGAAATATTTCACTCTCAATACCCATCTGCCACAAGACATTTTCAGAAAAGAAGAAAAGAAAAACAAGAATGCAACCGCTCCTCTTCCGTGAGTAGAAGCAACAGCCCCCATGGCAACCAGGAAGAACTCTGGGACATGGACACATTCCTTGGACTTTGAAAAAAAGGGTTTTTTTTGTTTGTTTATTTGTTTGATTGTTTTTTATAATCAAGTAAAGGAATAGATAAAATCATCTCTGTCAGTCAAGTGGCAACATAGCCAACAGTGGTACCTTTTAGGAAATGATGTCATATGTCTCGGTAACTTCTCCCAAGGCAGCAGATTTTGTAAGAGTTTTCAGACTTCCCTTGGTTCTTTTCATATGGTTATGGAGTGCTGAAACTTTTTTAATAGGAATTCTTTTCTTAAAGAAATAGTCCTCGTTAGAATGTCATTTCTGTCTTTATAACAAGAACAACTGGAAAGCTAGCAGATTGGAAAGCAATCCAGGGGCTTCTCAAGGGTTGACAGCAACGTTGTCAGACGGAAAACAGTCTGGATGAGAGTGAACAGGTAACTCGGCATGGGTGGCCTCCTTCCTAGCCCCTCTGTTTCCCTCACCCTTGTCCTCTGGTGATCAAAACGCTGCCAGTTTGGTTAACAAAGACTTACATGCACTGCCTGGGCTCTTGAGCTAGTGGAGTATTTGGAGACTGGAAAGGGAGAGTGTTTCGTTGTAAGGGACAAGCAAACAGAAAGAGAGAGGGAAAGCGAGAGAAGGGAGAGAGGGGAGAGAGAAGGGAGGGCCCGAGAGCCTCCTGTCGTGCTCGGTGCCTTTTCATGTGCCCCAGCTGCACCCACGGCTGTCACTCTGCTTGAAGATCAACCTCTCTACAGCCTTAGCTTAGGTTCCTAGGTAGAGTCTCCTTTGTGTATGTTTTAGTCCACTGTTTGTGTTCTTAAGTCAGTGCTTCTGTGTCTATTGCGTTGCCCCTCTGTGTCTTTCAGAGGTGGGGTTACTTCATTCTGTTTCCATATTGTTAATCATACCCCACCCCACCCCCACCTGGGCATTTTGGAAGCTAGTGAGCTAGGGGGTTTTCTAGGGTGTCAGGAAAGCTAGCTGACCTCATCGGGTGCAATACTGGCTAAGTTAAAGCTGGAAGCCTCCACTGTCACTTTACTGAGATCTCTGAGTCTACGTTTCATATTGCCTTAATGTAGCGGTAATGTGTTTATGCATTTGTTTCTTTGCACAGACATTTTGTCAGATATTAAAACTCTACTTTTTTATGGCACATATTAGCATATAAGCCTTTATTCCAAGAGGTATTTATTTTTTCACTTGTAAAAAAAAAATAATGTTTCCACATAAAAACTCTGTTATATGCTAGAGGACTTCTGTCTTTTATATTCAGGATAATAAAGAATTTAAAGCAAACTGTGTTTTCATGGTTATTGTCATTTAAGTCACTTTTCAGCTGAGTGAGCACTCACCTCAAGCTTGGGAAATTTAAAGATATTTCAGGTGCTCGTCTTTATTGAGAGAACTTGCTCAGCTTTTCTCTCGTATATGTTTTTGAACATACAAGATTCGAAGGTAGGTGAACATGATGCTGTGACATCCATGGCAGATAAAAAGGAAAACTTGGAGAGGAGGGTAGCAAGATGGCTCACCAACTAGAAGTGCTTCCTGCATAAGCCTGGTGACCTGAGCTCGATCCCCGGAACCCACAGAAACATGGACAGGAAAAGACGACTTAGCAAAGCTGTCCTGTCATGGTCACACGTGGGACCGTAGGACTCAGTGATGGGAGAAGCAGTGTTCCGTGGCACTGACTTCCTACAGTGCCCCTGCGTGTTGCTGCTGCTCCTGCTGCTGCTGAGCCTTAGCAGGCTTCTGTGTCGGTGTGTGCTCATCTGTTCTGAAAATGCTCTCTGTGGCAGAGACTATCAGGAAATGTCTGTTCAACTGATACCTTTAAATTTGGGAGACAGACCCAACCCATCCTCCCATTGGCTTCTAGGAATCTGTTCCACTTAGTCAACATAGTTATTTGACACCAAGTAAGTTATTGAGCCCTGGAACTTTAAAGGGGGGGGGGGGGATAGTCAAGGTCACAGTTTATCATGTACCTAAAGCAGCAGAGTATTGGCATCTTAGTGATTCCCAGTGTTTGTGTAGCACCTGTGACATGCATGGACGTTCAGTGCTGCTCAGATTTGTAAGCATTGGCAGTCTCAGAATGACAGCCAGGGTGAATGGGTGGATCAGTGACAGGTCAGCACATGAATGATACTGCTTGTGCTCCATGGACCAAAGGCTTCTTCAGCTCCGCAACTAGTATGACAGCCCATGTATTGCTTGGCCTTCTAAAAGCACAGAGAATGAAACACTGTTGGGCCTCTGCCAGGGCCCAAGGGAAATGTGCTTCAGAAGGACCGTTGAGCAAGACCTTCGCTCTAGCTGGGAAAAGACTGCACAGCCATGTCAAGGCTGCTGGTGGGTGATGTCCATGCGTACATGTCAATGGTAGTTAAGAACTTGGGCTCTGAAGGAACAAGTGGCTTGCAGAAGCAGTGAAAGAAACCTTCCGTTCCAGCTTTGACTGTGGTACCTTAGAAGCAGGCCTTCAGAACCAGGAACTGGTAGGGCACGGAAAGCTTGTACAACTAATGCATGAGACAGAGCAAGAGGAGAACAGAGAGAGAAGCAAGAGAAGTAGGGGCAGGGACATGGCTCAGTGGGAAAAGACTGAAAAAGTGGAAGGAGAGAGGTAGAGAGATGGCCCAGCAGTTAAGGGCATCAGCTGCTCTTGCAGAGGACCTTGGTTGGATTCCCAGCACCCGCACAGTAGTTTACAACTAACTGGAATGTCAGTTCCAGGGAATCTGATGCCCTCTTTTGGCCTCTGCCAGCACTAGACATACATGCAAGACATAGACATACATGCTGGCAAAATATCCACATACAATTGGATGGAGAGAACCAATTCCATAGAATTGCCCTCTGACCTCCACATACTCACTGTGACATGTACACATACAAGCACACTGTTCATGCGCACAATAATAACTATCTTTTAAAAGAATACAATAAATCAAAAGACTTTGGGAAGCATATCATGAAAACGATGCTTCCCAGCTTGAGAACAACTGAAAGAAGGACCAATGGGAGGAAGGCTTAGTGACTTGTTGCTAGGACTACATACCTGGCAAGAAGCAGCCTGAGGAAGAAGGGGCTTATTTTGACTCACACTTGAGAAGTGTGAGTGCATACTCCACCAAGGAAGGGAAAGCCATGGCAGCAGGTGCCTGAGGTCTCTGGTTACATTGTGTCTGCCATCAGAAAGCAGTGGGCAGGAAGTAGGCTAGGCTATAAAACCCCGAAGCCTGTTGTCAGAGACCCACTCTTTTAGCAGGACTCCTCTTCCTTAAGATTTCACAATCCTCCAAGCCAGCACCACCAGCTGAGGACCACGGGTTCAGATACGTGAGCCTATGGGTGTAGGGGGAACCTTTCACATTCAAACCACAATAAGAACAATCTTTGGGAATAGAAAAAAAAATTGCTTTGGGTCCTGGGATGCTTACGTTTGCGATACTTGGAAACCCACAGACCTGGAGCCAGTTGGAAACCTGGGTTGGGATTTCCCGGGAATATTCTGCGGGAACAAAGAAGAGGTTGGTGGTAAACACATGAAAGTGACCAAATAAGAAGTCGATACCCCAGAGGAGGTGGGGCTGAAACACCCTGTTTGAAACTTTTTGTTAATAAACAACCATTCCGTTCTCACTTGGGCCTTCAGGATAACTAAAAGATGGAAGCCTTAGCGCCTCTGCCTTCATTTTGTATCTGTCATCTTTTACTTCGGCTAAAGAGACAGATAAATCAATGTCCTTAATCTTTCCCCTGAAGTCACCTTGGATTCACAGCACAGCAGAAGACCACTGGACAGAGCAGCCACTCCCAGATATGAGGATAATTATCCCTGAAAGCCAGGCTGCATCCTAGAGTGACCTTGTAGGGAGTGGTTTGATGTCTTCAAGCAATGTCAGCTGTAAGGAGGACTTCTTCAAAACACCTCCCTAAAACAAGGCTGAGGCAGTGGCCAGCTGATGCATTGACTGGATGTTTGATTGTGTAGACCCCTTGCCCTCCTACCTCAGTTCCTCCTCTACTTAAATCCGAAACTCATGCCATATCCCAAAGGTGCCCTTGGGGTTTCCAGGCCCCTTTATTTCTCCACCCAGTGTGATCACGTTGAATAAATCTGCTCTTCACCACTATTTTTCTCCCTTGGCATATTAGAGCATAGAGCCAAGCCTATACAACTCTACTTACAGATGCAGAAGTGTTTTGGTTCTGTGGTTTAGGTGGGCACACACAGGTTAGCAAACAGAGGGATAAGCAGGGACCCCAGGACCTTTGCAACCAGAAATGCTGAGGACTCTGGGATTTGACCTCCCAATGATTCACTTTACAACACTTGAGCAACACTCTCCTCCTTTTCCTGAGGATGACAAAAGCAAGCAGAAAGCAAACTGTTTCCCCACCTCCTCCTAGCACCACCAGCTGAGGACCTGTCTTACACCCTGTCACAGGAGGGGGGACTCACTAGGCCAGTTCATCCCAGGAGTTGTCTCTACAACAGCCACTGAAAGGGAGGAAATCATGTGTCTCATGGGAGAATACTTGTGGATAAAACCCGGATGAATTTCCACAAACAGCTTGGGAAATAAGTACTATGGAGGAAGAAGTTTGTGGAGAGGTCTGACCCCAGGCACTGAGACAAAGTGTTGGGTCTTCACTGTTACAGCACAAAGGGCTGCAAAGGATGCTTGTGGGCAGAGGGCACAGAGGAAACCAAGTTTGAACAGAACTCGTGGTGGCTGTTTCCAATAAATTACATAAGCACATATCAATTGCCAATTAATAATGAGTATCACTGTGACATTTTTCACGCACATGGGAAATGTAACTTTACCACATCCGATTCCCTTCCTGCTACCCTCTGTTGCCTTCCCTCCCCTGGTGCTCTTCCTCTTCCCCAAACAGTCCCCTTCACCTTCAACCTAAATTCCATGCATGTAAATTTTTTTTTTCTTAACCTGATAATTTCACAGTTTGGGGTGGTGGTGGTTTGTTTTGTTTTGTTTTGTTTTGTTTTGAGACAGGGTCTCCTATAAACAAGGTCCCAGGCTGGCTTTAAACTCTTGACCCTCCTGCCTCTGATATACAGGCATGTGCTCTCACACCCAGTTTCATATACTGTTTTGCTGCTGTAGAAAAGACTGTGAGTGAAGTCTGAGCACTAACAGAGTTGAAGACCAAAAAAAAAAAAAAAAAAAGCATGCATTTCTGTGTTTCTTATTGGTAATGTATCCCATGCCTTCTCCCAGAAATCCTAAGCATTTACAAACTCCTTCTATTCACATTTATTTGAATTTACTCTAAAAACTGTGAGTTATTAAAGAGTTATCCCTCTTCAATGCAAATCACAGATTGAACACATCTGCCAGTTACTTGAAGCAGTGTGTGCTTCAAGGGAGGCCAAACATCTGTTCTCACAGCTCACAGTGGTGGTAACGGGAAGAAAAGCCTGGAAGGAGGAAACCCTCCTATCGAGGCTATTCTTCAGTGAGAAAGAAAGTCCGTATGTGTGTTTATGAAACAAAACTCTAATCAATAGTGCTAAGACCCAAAGCAATATACAAACTCATGTGATCAGCCCCGAATGAATGCCAGTGAGTGCCAGAAGGCGTTTACAAGAAGTTGAAGTCTTTGTCCTGAAGGAAACACAGAATTTGAGTGACAGGAAAGGCAGACAAAGCAGAGAACAGGAAAGAGCCCAGAGGTCAAGAGCAAGAACAAAAAAAAAAAAAAAAAAAAAAAAAAAAAACAGCAAAGGAAGAAAAAAAAGCTGAGGCCACTCCTGAAGAGCTTCTATGGCTGGAATAAAGACTTCAAGTTCGATTTGATGAATGCATAGAGACTACAACAAGACATTTGATTTGTTTATTTACCGTTGTGCACTCGATTTGTTCTGATTTGTATTCATTAATTTGAGTATTGCTTTGTTAGCTCAGCAAATATTCATTAAGTACCTAAGATCAGGCTGTCGATTAGAACTGGGGTAGTTGTTCCAACCCAGGCAATTCTCTCTCTCTCTCTCTCTCAATCTTTCTCTCTCTCTCTCTCTCTCTCTCTCTCTCTCTGTGTGTGTGTGTGTGTGTGTGTCTTGTGTGTCCTACCCACAAGGTATTAGCAATGTCTGAGGACATTTTTCTAAATTGTCCCACTGGAGATCTAAACTGGTTTTTGTGGAGCGGCAAATTGGCTCAGCTGGTAAAAGTCTTTGCTGCCAAGCCTGGTAATCCGGGATCCCTGGGACTCACATGGTAGAAGGGAGAAGCCATTCCTGCACACTTTGTCCCGCA